CAATAGATTTAGCTATTTTTATTCTTAAATTATGTATATGGGCTCTCCAGGTCAACTTTTCATATATGATAACACCCAGAAACTTTGCTTCACCGACTTTAAATGGAACATTTAAAGTCTTTTGCTAAATATCATATAGTTGGTTTTATATAAATTTAATGATAGTTTGAGATGAAACGTAAGTTTGTATTTTAACAAATTCTATCTGCATCATCCCCATCATTCGCTCTGTCTTTGCCCAAACAAAAAAATGTTGTATCGTCTGCAGACAGAATGCATTTCAAAAGTCCCGACACATTTACCAAGTCATTTACATACAAAATAAACAATTTTGGTCCAAGTACAGAACCTTGTGGAACTCCACATGTGATGCTACAAAGGTCAGATCTTACATCATTTACYTGTACAAACTGTTTCCTATCCTTCAAATAAGGATAGGTGTTCAATGCATCAACGATAAACCAGGCTTTAGGAAGCTTACGAAATGTACGGATGGGGGAAATAAAAGTTATGGATGGGAATTTACATGGATTACAAAAGAAAAAAACTCTGGAACAAACTGGCAGGGCGTCCTGAGGGATCGCCAGCTGATACAGGGCGTCGTAAAGCAGAACAGGACGTAATAAAGCTAAATGCCTGAGCATCACTCCTTAAGAACTGAATGTAATTTGTGGGTCTTTTAGGCTGGTTTAATTTCGTACAATTTACAAGWTATGAAGAATATTTTGTTTCTTCAGCCACAGTGTCAGCAGTCAGATGGTGAGCCCAACGCTCTGCCGGCTCCCATTGAACTTCTTGGGAGTTTTAACATCCTGATAACATCAGTGGAGCAGCTGCAGTCCAACTACCTGCTCAATCTTAAGAACTTCAGTGAAGGAGAGCTGGCCACGCCGCCTCGCAAAATACTGAACACGCTCAGGTAAAGTTGGGTTATCATTTATTCAGTAACATTTTTGCTAAASGTACAAGCAGACTGTATATAATTTATAGCTGTAGTAGCTGAACCTTTAGCGATCAGTATTTACCGTAGTGTTGCCTTTGTTTTTGCGTTGCAGACAACTGAACCCCATGTACGAAGGTCATCTCCAGCATGACGCTCAGGAGGTTCTCCAGTGCATTCTGGGATACATCCAGGAGGCCTGTGACACCATCAGGAAGGAGCAGGACTTAGAAAAGAAGTGTGACAACTTTCGAGATGTTAAAACAGAAAACATCGATGCTGAGACTGAATCCAAACCTACAGATGAGGACGGCCAAGTCAGCGTCAAAAGGAAGAGTGACACCGAGGTGGGAAAYGCCAAGAAGAAACCCAAGTCTGCCAAGTCTAAAAAGTCTGACTCTCCAGAGGAAAACTTCTGTAGGAATGCACCCGTCACTCGCTCTAAGAGAAAGTCCTCCAGCGACGTAACAGCAGAGAGCCCTCGGCATGAAGTGAAAGTGGAGAAGAAACTGAATAAGGAGGAAGAGAATGAAGAAGAGGAGAAAACTGAGAAAGTGTCCAAGGAGATGGATAGGAAAAGAAAGAAGAGAGCTAAGCTGGGCTGGCTGAGATCATCTGGCAAACAGCCGAGTATTTTCTCTAAGTTCTGCAGCGTGGGGAAGATCAGCTCTGTAACTGTGAAGAGTCAGAACAAAGCAGAGCTGGAAAACAATCTGACAGATGAACCAAAGGAGAAGACTGGCCAAGAGATGTCCACTCAAAACTGTGCTAATGAGGATAGCACTGAGAAACATCAAGGTATGGTTTTTCAAGAATGGTTTAGAGTTCCAGAAGGCTGCAGTAGATGACACATTTGCTGTGAATTATAAACTGAGTGGAGTATTTGTGTGTTTCTGTTTTCTTCAGAAGTCTTGGGCTTGATGGAAAAGGTGTTCCAGGGCCGACTGGTTCTSAGGACTCGCTGTCTGGAGTGTGAGAGCTTCACAGAGCGGAGAGAGGACTTCCAGGACATCAGTGTCCCCGTGCTTGATGACCAGCCCAGCAGTCCAGACGACCTCTCTGAGGGTGAGGATTTTATTTTTAAACCATTATCTCTGTAGTGMTTATCGTTTGGACATTTACTGATTCTGACCAACCATAAGATATTAGGAAACTACAGAGACATGGGGAAAACAATAAATACAACGATCCTGACTTACTTATGCAAGAACCAGCAAAGGTTTCACAGGATCCTGAGAAACCTTTGCAGGATTCTTCAGAGAAACTTTAGCAGGATCCTTTGAAAGTTTCTTGGGTAACTGGAAAAGTTTCTCGGGTAACTGGAAAAGTTTCTCGGGTAACTGGAAAAGTTTCTCGGGTAACTGGAAAAGTTTCTTGGGTAACTGGAAAAGTTTCTCAGGTAGGGGAGACCAGGTGACAGTTGCAACACTTTTCATTTGACTCTGTTACTCAGAGATGGTTTGGATTTGACAAACCAAATTTTTATACAACAAACTTACATCTGTCTATTGGTCAAAACCATTTATAGATGATTAAATAATGTACATACTTCACAATTTGCATTTGAAAATGAAAAGTCAGATGTTGCAACTGACCCCAGTGCCGGGGACAGATGCAACATTTCATTAATACAATATATTTCACTGTAAATAAAAGTTTTACTATTTTTATATTTATATTATTGCTAAATTTATAAGAACTGCAGGTTATAATGATACTACTGTTATTTATTTATTTATCGGTTTTGATTAAATGGCGAATATAGATTTGCTTTGAGTAGACCTTATATACAGATGTCAAATACTCTGATATAAAATACAGTTGGCTTTCAGTGACAAGAATAATAGAACAATTTTTGAGGAAATTAACTTTTGTTTTGCCCAGTGTATGCTTCCATTATGCATAATTTACATTGAACAAAACTGGGATTCCAAAACCATTGTTGAAAACCACAACTGTAGAAAATACAACAACTCACTTACTCCTAGACATTTAAATAAATGCCTCTTTAGGCTTAAAACTGGTAAAACTGTGTCGTGTTTCCACATATGTTATGGCTCTTAGAGCCAGGTCGTAACAATCGTAAACATTTATAAGTTTATAAGTTTTAAACTATATAAAATTGTCATGAATACCCAATATCTGTTTAAGTACAAACTTAAATTCACCATCTTAAATCATCTGTATGTGTCTGTATGCAAAACTAAGTCTAGATCCTTGTATAAATCTTCTCCCTGTGTGCCCTTACGGGCTCTGTAGGAAACAGTATGGTTGT